GAACCAGGGCCCTGCTGTTCAGAGCTGGCGTCCCAAGCCAAATCTTAACCAGCACGCCATTCTGCTGGCCCTAATTGTAGATATTCTTTGACACTACACTCAAACCTTTTAAAAGGTTTGTTGCAATAAGGAATCTAAAACTATATCATTAAACTTTTGTACTCTGTTAAATTGAAATTCATTTGTTCTTGCACTTTGAATGAATATTTATCCGTGTGTGATTGTATGACATCATACATTGGTCATTTAGAAATGAGTGGTTCATTGAGTTATGCAACTCTTCCAAATGATGACAAATTTAATTGTACAGTTGATAATATTTCCACTCATTTCATCAGATAATTCTTTTTGAGAGTTGGGAAGCTGGCAGGGTCATAGTGGTGGACACACGTTTTCAAAATTCTGACTTTCGCTTCAAATCTGAATTACCATAGTTGGTCATTCATTCTTTGAAATAAAAATTGTGTTCTATGAAAAACTCAACTGGTTCAGCTTTCTAGTCAAAAGTAATCACACAAGTGTTTTACCTTGAGATAACCCTTGTATTTGAATATGCTCAAGTGCTTTTGAGTACTTTACATTTCATCCCCAAGAATAATCAGTTATTAAAAAGATATGTACTGAAATGTTGAGAATTGATAGTATTTTTTAGTGCTTCATGAAGGACATTCAAGTCAAAGTGGATTTGTTTTTGTACTGTAAGTGGGTGGCAGTGAAGACTTCAGTGACTGTTAGTACAGTTTGGAGCCATTGTCTTGATTCATGCTCAGGTTACAGCAGTTTTATACACCATTGCTTTTTGCACTTCAGTGCAGAGGTCAGCACAGTAAAATAAGGCAAATAATATCTAATACTTATGAAAATGGTTTTGCTTCATGGACCCCTTGAAAAAGAGGTCTTGGAGACATCCAGAGACCTTTGGACAATACTTTGAGAACCACTAATCTAGGACAATGATTTTTCACACTAATTCATACAGCCCTAAGTTTCTTTTAAAGGGCTCTACCATACCCACCCCTCTTTACTTCAGCCAGGATAGTTTCTGCTGATGTCTCTTTTATGTATTGAGTTCCAAAGCTAAAAATATTTGAAAACCACTGATCAAGGGGAAAAGAAACGAGTGCTTGGTATAAAAAAAAAGAACCGAGTACCTGAATTAGGACTGTGCGTTCAGGAAGGGAACAATTCATCCTCCATGAATATGAGTTGCAGTCACCACTTTACACCTTTGTTTACTTAGTCTTGCTTTAGTGTGCTTCTTGACATAAAGATTACTGTTGTCTACACATCTAACTCTTCTTGCTGAAATAAGCTTCTTGAGAAATAGGCAAACGAGTTTGTAAATAAAAAAGGTGAGTAGTTGGGAATGAAGNTTATAGGGGAAAAAACAGGCTTCTGTATTTCTTAAATGCAACAACAGTTGTAAAGTAGACACTTAAGAGCAGAAAAGGAGGTCAACTCAGAAATAGATGTTTTAACTGTTATAGTAAATAAATTGGATAAAGCTTTTCTTATATATAATATTAAGTATATTTTGTATATTAAGTATATTAAGTATAATTGTATGGCTTGGTTATAAGATAATAATCTCTAGGTTTGTGGTAACTATTACTGAGATTGAATTGGTAGATAACCTTGATGTAGGAAGATATCAGAAACGCAGTGTCTTTAGTCAAGCACCCTTGAAACTGATAGTAAAAGACCTAGAGAACTAGTTATTGAGTTCACTGGTTGAAGAATTGTGTCTGTGAGAGTAGGGATATAAAGTTTGGATTTACCCATTTGTTTTAGATTTTCAAATTTGCCTTTATTTTCCTTTGTAGCCTCCAACTGGTACAGATACTATGGTTAAAGCTGGAGTTAGTACTAACATCAGTACCAAGCACCAATGTATTACTGCTATGAAAGAATATGAAAGCAAGTCACTAGAGGTCAGTAAAATGCAACATAGAAAATCAGCCTAACCTTTTGATTCTATTGGAAAGCAGCTTCTGACAATATTTTTGATCATTTTTAGGATCAAGTGGTTTATATTGAGTTTATGTAAAAAACTAACATTAATCAAATTATTTTTTTAATTAATGCATTATTTATAGATATGTATTGTTTTTGGCAGGGATAATACTCAGCTTGTATGTGCTGGTATAGTTCTAATAGTCTATCCTGATTGGATGTTGCCCACACTATACTATACTGGGCTATGTGTGTATGCATGTGCATGCATGTGTTTTTAGTAAGCTTATGCAAAGTCATAAATATACAACATAGTAAGTTTTCACTAAGTGAACACCCCCATATAACCAGAATTCAAATCAAGACACAGCATTACCAGCTTCCCTAATGTCCCCCCATGTCCTCTCCCCCAGTCACAATCCTCTTCTTTCAGAGGTAACCACCATCCTGACTTGCCATGTTTTACCCATTTTTGTGTATAAATGGAATCTTACGTTACGTACTCTTTAAGTCTGTTTCAAAATTGAGCTATCCATGTTGTTGCATGAAATTAATTTGTTCATTCTTATTGCTGTGTAGCAGTTCTTTGTACATTTTGACTGTCACCCTTGATTGTAGCTGTTGCTTCTTCCTACATCCCAATTGTGTTTACTTTATTGGAGAGTGCAGAAACACCCTGACTTGGGAGACAAAACTGTTAATTTTCTGAACTCTCTAGAATCCTCTGTCTTTTAATCAGCTAACTTTTACATTTGGAGTAAGAGTAGACAAGATTGTTATATAGCATTGTACTAAAAGAAAGTAGTATTTATAAAAGAAAATTAAGCTGTGGTTGATCCTTTGGCCTGTATTTTTATGGTAATTATGGTACGGATTGAATGTCCACTATACACTATTGAAAATGTTTTTCTGTAATATTAAGTTAATGTCATTCATAGTTTTCTGTTTTATAGTCATCGTTTCTGTGTGAACGTAGAACTTGAATACTAAATTCATGTATTTAGTCTCTTAAATAATTTTTTTGGCTGCATATCGAGATTGGAAATATGTTTTCCCTCCCTCTAGGAACTTCGTTTAGAGGATTATCAGGCTAACCGGAAAGGCCCGCAGAACCAGGTGGGAGCAGGTACCACGACTGGTTTGTTTGGGTCTTCTCCGGCCACTTCCAGTGCGACAGGACTCTTCAGCTCCTCCACCACCAATTCAGGCTTTGCATATGGTCAGAACAAAACAGGCTTTGGAACTAGTAAGCACTTGACATCATACTGGGCCATTTGAGGAGGGACAGACAACTAAAAGTAAACCATTTTGTCATAAGTGCTATGGAGAAAAATAATTCAGGGATGCTGGAGGATTAGGGATTACCTGATAACGTATGTGGGGGTAGGGAGACATGCTGCAGTGTGATAAAAAAAATACAGTGAATGTTTAAATTTAAAAGATAATTTAGTAAAAGACACACTGCCATTAATCCCCCTCAGAATACTCCCCTTTACTTCAAACGTACGTATCCCATCATTCTTGCCACTTTCTGAAGCAGTTCTGGAAGTCCTTTTTCATGAGTGTCTTTAGTTGCGCCGTCGTGGTTGCCTCGATGTTCTGAATCATTTTAACTTTGGGGAAGAGCTAGAAGTCGCACGGCGCCAGATCCAGTGAATAAGATGGATGAGGACACACCGTAATGTGTTTATTTGACAGAAACTGCCGTATCAGAAGCACTGTGTGACACGGAGCCTTTCCGTTGTGATCAAACAATACAGTGAATGCTGCTGTCGAATGCTATCCAACAGAAAGGCAGGGATCTTAAATATGGGAAGTGGTGTGTTGAACCTTAGTAACAGGGTGTGACAAGTTTCAGCTTGCTCGGTGCAGCCAGTCAAGTGTGAGCTACGGTGGAGAGAAGGTGTGTTTTAAAGCATTCCATAAATCATCCTTCATCATGACAATGCTCCGTGTCACACATCGCTTCTGGTAGGGCAATTTCTGTCAAATAAAAGCATTATGGTGTGTCCTCATCCACCTTATTCACCAGATCTGGCACTGTGTGACTTCTGGCTCTTCCCCAAAGTCAAATTCATTCAGGACATGGAGGCAGCCATGACAGCACAACCAAAGACATTTCACGAAAGAGGACTTCCAGAACTGCTTCAGAAAGTGGCAAGAACAATGGGATAAGTGTGTTCAAAGTGAGGGGGAGTATTTTGAGGAGAATTAATGGCAATGTGTCGTTTACTGTAATAATTATTTTTAATGTAAACATTCACCGTATTGTTTGATCACACCTTGTACATTTTTAAATGAAGATGGTTAAGGGCTTTACAGATGAGATGACATTTCAGCAGTGATGTGTCTGAAGGAGGTGAAGGATAAAGCTATACAGATTTCTGCGAGAAGAACATTTCCAGCTAGAGGAAATTATAAATCTTAAAATCTTGAGTTTTTGCCCAAGAGGAGTGGACAAAGGGGAATACTAGGGGATATAGGGACAATGTTTTATAGAACTTTGTGTGCTAGTGTCAAGTGTCAAGATTTGAATTTGAGTTGGGAAGCCATTATAGGCGTTAGAAAGAGAAGTCGTGTAATTATTACGTTCTGAAGGCTGCTATATTAACAGAGTGTAAGGGAACGGTGGAAGCAAGTCAGTTGGAAAAGCTATTGCTCTGTCTACACAAGAGATGATGGTGGCTTTTAAAAGAATGGTGTGATAGAGATGGTAAGAATGTCAGATTTTTGACCCAGTTTGAATATAAAACTGATGGAATTTGCTGATGGATTGATTTGATGTGGGATGTGAAAGCGGGAAGTCTAGGGTGATTACTGAATTACTTTATAAATATATTACTTTTGCAAAGGTAATGCATACATATAATATGAAGCTCACGAAATACAAAAAGTTCTCTTGTAACCAAAGGTCTCTTGTTTTTTTCCCCAGCCACCCATTTGCCTCTAGAAACAAGCAAAAGTTAGATTTTTTTTTTGAAACCTAGAGGGATCCACACACACACAAATATATAAATAAACAAATATTTAAGTGGCATTTAACATTCTTTTCCATCTTGATATTCTGTGATTTCGTTTAGCCACATATTCTTTAAGTACTATTGTGTACTTATGCTAGATGCATTGATATAAAGAGAAAGCCTCTGTTCTCAAAAACTTTGTCTAACAAGGTTAAAATATAATACACACATAGACTCTTGAATGTAGCATGGTATCTTCTAAAATAGAAGAAAGCTGCGGGTTCACAAAGGAAGATTACTTACCCCAGCCAGGGTACTTGGGGGTCAGAGTATGATTGTAGGAATTAAAGTCTGAAGCAAGTCTGGAGTTAGGTGAAGGAGGATGGAAAATAAAACAGTATCCAGTTTGACTAGGGTAATTTAGATACGTAATCAGTATCATAAAATTATTGTAGTAACTGGATAATGTGAAGTTTTGGATTTTTTTTCTCCATTTAATATTTCTTTCCTTTGTTCCTGAAAGGTACAACTGGATTTGGGACAAATCCAGGTGGTCTTTTTGGCCAGCAGAATCAACAAACAACCAGCCTCTTCAGCAAACCATTTGCCCAGCCCATAACCACCCAGAACACTGGCTTTTCCTTTGGTAACACCAGCACGCTAGGACAGCCAAGCACCAACACCATGGTAAGGAATCAGGCCCTTAGTTAATTCTAGGTCTTTGTACTGCTAAGTAATGAGGCTTCTAATCATATCAAACCAGCAAGTTCTACCTCTGTTACAGTTCTTCAGGATTGATGGTATGTAGTAGAGGGAAGAGAGCAAAACCTTGGAATAATTAAGACCTAGGTTCCAGTCCAGGCTGTCCTCTGTACTTATTGAGAGGCTGCTGAGCAAGTCACTTATCTTTTCTGAGCATATTTTCTTATCACTAAGAGCTGCTTAGTTTGCTAGAATTTGCTATCCTGAAGCTACACCTGGACTCAAGCCATTCTATAGAGTATAGGAGAAAATATAAGTTACTGGCTATATTTCAGAATGTTCTTTCACCCTGTTCCCTTAAGCAGAGTCAGGCAAAGAAGTTTAGTTCATTAAAATCAAGGAAGAATTAAAACTCAGCCATATTGCATAATTGCTACTTCTGTGCAGAAAGTAAAACAAAGTCCTTAAATCATTAAAGTTTATTTCTAGGGACTCTTAGGGAAGTATAAAATTAAAGGTTAATTCGAGATATGATTTATTGACTAGAAATACTAGAATATACCTAGTCTATCTCTAATTTTTGGTATTTTCAAAGTTTTATAGATACTCTGCCTGATTAAATAACAATTATAGCTAGACCCAAAAATCATCAAAATACTAGCAAACCGAATTCAGCAACATATAAAAAGGATTGTATACCATAACCAGGTGGGATTTAATCCCAGGAAAGTTGGTTCAACATATGACAATTCATGTAATAAGTCATTGGAATAGAAAAAAGGATAAAAACCACATGATCACCTCTGTGCAGAAAAAGCATTTGATAACATTTGTGATAAAAACACTCAACAAAGAATAGAAGAGAACCCAGAATAGCCAGTCTTTTTTTTTTTTTTAAGATTTTATTGGGGAATTGGGGGACGGAAACAGCGTTGGGGAATCGGGAAAGGGGAACAGACAAGTTGCTGTCCTTTTGTTCTTCAGTCTAGTTCTGGAGGATGCTGCTTCACTGGCCCATGTTGGTATTATCATTTCACTCTTCCTGGCTGAGGCAGTCGGTTGCCGGCCATTGGACAGGCTGCACACAGTGGCTCACGGTAGCTCATGCCGGCTGCCAGCTGGCCACTCACGGTAGCTCACGGCAGCGCACTGCAGCCTACACCGTTGCCAGCGACTGACGGCAGCTCAGCTCCAGGTCGAGCTGTTGTTCACCATCTTAGCTGTAGAGGACGCAGCGTCACTGTCCCTCATGTGAGATCCGAACCGGGGCCCTGCTGCTCAGAGCTGGNGGATGGCTCAGCTGGTGAGAGCACATGTTCCTAACAACAAGACTGCCTTGTTCAGCGGTGGGCTACGCTTGCCCTCATCTAAGACGGAACTTGGCACCTTGAGCTGAACTGCCACCTGGATGGCTCAGTGGATACAGTGTGCGCTCTTAACAACAAGGCTGCTGGTTCGACTCTCACATGGGATGGTGGCTGCGCCCACCCGCAACTAAGATTGTAACACAGTGCCTTGAGCTTAGAGGCCACGAGTTGCCAATGGGCAGCCAGATGACTGGCGCCCTCCACAACTAAGATTGAAGAACAACAACTTGGCTGGTCCACTCTCCAATTCCCCAACACTGTTCCCCTCCCCCAATAACCCCAATTTAAACACACACACACACACACACACACACACACACACACACACAACCACATAGAAAAAAAAAAAACAATGTCAAAGTTCTTAATCCCCACCAGCCTTCCTGAGATCCACTTTCCCTCCCAACCAGTATTGTACATGCCATTTGTTTCTTGTCTTTTTGATAATAGCTGTCCTAATAGGTTTGAGGTGATTATTCTTTCACAAAAGTAGAAAGAATGGTATAATGAACTGTCACATATTTATCTCCCAGCTTCAGCAATCAGCGTTTTTCCAGTCTTGTTTTTATCCCTTTCTTTTTAGGGGGACAGGACAATTCTGAACAGAGTATTTTAATGCAAATCCTAGAAATTTCCTCTAACAGATGAGGGTTTTTAAAAAGCATAACTACCAAACCTCAATCATACCTAATAAAAATAACAGTAGAGAAAATTTTTCTGGTGTCCCCTCACCTCTTATTAAAGTATTCTACATCTAAGTCCTTGGGTTTTAAATCAAGGATGTCCATGAGAGTCACCTTTGGAGGGTTTTTTTTCCCCCAGGGTACATATTTACCATTATAGAACTATGGAATTAGGGTCTCTGGGGTTGGAACATGAACATGTATCTTTTGAAAAAGCTTCCCAGGTCATTCTGATGTGCTCCCCAAATTAAGGACTATTCATCCCAGTGACTATGGAGTGTACGGTGTATGGAGAGAATTTAACACTTTAATTTGATAATTTTACTTTTGTATATAACTCACATCACTAGTTATGTTGGCACTCTTTTTTTTTTTTTTTAACCTATCAACATCTATAACGTGTATTGAAAAGTCATACCTTTTCACTTTGTTTCCTTCACCTGGGGACAATGAATAAAATGTCTGGCTTAATTGCAACTCTAATTAGTAGTCTTAACGGAATTTTGAAAAAATAGTTTTCAGATGAGACCAATACCCCTATCCAAATACAGCATGGGAGGAAGTATTAAACTTTTTCATTGTGTCACCTGGTTTAAATCTTATTCTCACCCTGGCTTTTGCTTTTTCAGGTACTGGCTTTGGCACTACTAGTGGAGGGGCATTTGGAACATCTGCATTTGGTTCTAGCAACAATACTGGAGGCCTGTTTGGAAATACACAGACCAAACCAGGTAGATGCTTTATTTGGAATAGAGTTGGTTTATTCATAGCTGGTATAGGACTTTATGTAGATAGTGGCTCCAATCTGTCCATTTAACTGTTTTTAACCCCTTTCCCTCTCCCAGGAGGATTATTTGGTACCAATTCATTTAGCCAGCCAGCTACCTCCACAAGCACTGGCTTTGGGTTTGGCACATCAACAGGAACATCAAATAGTTTGTTTGGAACTGCAAGCACAGGGACCAGTCTCTTCTCATCCCAAAACAATGCCTTTGCACAAAACAAACCAACTGGCTTTGGGAGTAAGTAGGACATTATTGAAACTTCTGCATGTAACAATTTGATTTTCTTACTGAATGTGTTCTTCTCCTTTTCCCTGTGTTCAGCAACCCCTTTCCTTTTCCTTCAGATGGCAAAAACATGGGGAGAAGAAAACTTTGAAATGTATTGAAAGTTTAATAGGCTTGAAAGGAGGGGGATATGTACATCTCTTGAAGAATGGAAATCAGAGAAGCACTAGTATTTAAGGGCTATGCAGAGGTAGGGGCACTTGATATAGAATGACCAGAGATAGGATAAAAAGCCATATCAGAGTAGTGTCATAGGTGTTAAGATAGGAGAATTTCAAGTAGGGATGTGTGTGGTCAGCAGTATTGTATGGCAGGGATACATTCTTCTTGTCTCTGTTTCTCACTCAGTATGAAGAGATTAAAACAGGAATGACAGATGCTGGCCATGACATGGTTACTCCTCCATTTCTTGTCCACGAGAGATGTTTTCAATTGATGGCTTTTTTCTCATTAAATCTAAGTATAGCTGAGGGATACTTCTCCACACAATATTTAAGTTGGATAGGTGTGCCCTGTGAGTTGATGCCATTCCCAGCGCAAGTGAAGGGCAGAATGAATAAGTTAGCCAGCTAACAGTATTTTACAAAGGAAAAGTTGTTTGTGGGGATGTTACATATTTAACAGTGACAATATAAAATGCAATCTAAAGTGTTAATTCAAAAGAGATGTGCCTATTTACTTTAAACTATATATTAGGACACTTCTTTAGAAAAGAAATAGTAGTTACCAGTGTGAAATCATATTCCTCTTAACTTGTAATTAGGATGTCACTTAATATTAAATATTGGTAGATTACTTTTTATTGCTACTGACATTTCTGGCACCATATGAATAACTTCTTTAGAAGTAGTATTTCATATTTTGAAAAATATATTCCTTAGATAAGTTAAATTCACTTTTATGTACTTGAAAAAAATCAGCTTTTTGGAAAAGTAATCAGAGGATCTATTTGTTTTTCTTTTTAAATAAAATGATCAACATGCCCACTGATTTTTTTCTAAAGTATTTTTCAGAGTCTGAAATTTTACATTAACTTGTATTTGTTCATCATAATAGGACCATTTGTATGTTTTAAACATTTTAGTTGTGTGTGGACGTTTGTAGTAATACATGTAAGTAAAATATACTATAACCCCTATTGAAGCGTGTTGTGATGTTTTCAGAAATATAAGCTCATTCAGCATCTAGCCTTGCCAAGAAAGGAGAAATGAGGTGAAATTTATGATGAAACAAAGCATTGTCTTCAAAGTATGCTCAAGAAGAGCTTCATGGCATTTAGCTGACTAAAGGTTTCAGATTTTGTTTCACTTCAAAGTTGTGAGTCTAGAGTTAGGTGTGTTTCTGTATGAAATATCTTTTTGAAGGTACTTGCAAAGGAGATTTGAAAGAAAATTTGAGGATGTGAAAGTACTGCTCTAGTACCACAGCTCAATTCCAAGTTATCTTACAGATTCTTGCATTCTTTATTGTTACCATCTAATTTTTCTTTCTAACTTACAGATTTCGGAACAAGTACTAGCAGTGGGGGACTTTTTGGAAATACGAATACCACCTCCAATCCTTTTGGTAGCACGTCTGGCTCCCTCTTTGGGCCAAGTAGTTTTACAGCTACTCCTACTGGGACTACTATTAAATTTAATGTAAGTATTTTCTTCCAAGCTTTGTGGAATTTCTCTCCCATTTATTTATTTATTTGCAGGACGAATCGTAAAATTTCTGTTCTTTCCAGTTAGGCACAGCTTAGTCTCACTTTTCCTGAAAGATGTGTTAAGAATAAAATCTGTAAATAGTTATATAGTAGACAGGAAAAGTCTTGAAACGTAAATCTAGATTATAATGCATGTTTGAATTATGCTTAGCACAGCCAGGTTTGTTGATTGTAATACTAAATGGTTGAACTTCTATTTATTGTGTTCATAATTTGGCCTCTGAATCGTCAACCATTCTTTATAGAAATAAGGAATATGGGAGCAAACTATAGAAAAATAATTGAAAATAAGGCTTGTTTAAGGAGATATGTGGAATAATTCATGAATATTCTGTATGCTAGTTAAAAATAAAACTTTTGTTTATGAAATGGCAAAATGGGGCAATAGAGTTTTGTGTTTNTTTTGTTGTTAATAGAGGAAATATTACAGAAAAACTTAGTCAACAGATACAGGAAAATGGATCTAGTAGAACCATGACCCAAGAGAGCAGATGAGAGAGGCTGCAATTAAAATGAGTTGGTCCAGACATCTAACCCCTAGCACGACTGTCAATTCTGAATGAACTGTTGAAAAGCAATACCTAGATAGACTCATGGAGGCCTTGACTTGTGCTAAGTACTTCCAAAAGTATTTCCCTTGGAAAAGAGAAATATGGTGAAGGCCCAGTCTGCCACTTTGTGACTCCTGATAAATTGGGAAGGCAGGAAACTTAAAGCGTATCTCCTTACTGAAAGAGAAATGATGATTTCAAGTGACTCTAATGCATTCTCTTGGAACTGGAGCCTCTAGTTCCAAGGGAACGCATTAGAGTCACTTGAGGAGCCTTTCAAAATACAGTTGTCTACATCCCAACTCTGGATATTTTGGTTCAGTATTTCTAGAATGGGACCTGGGGGTTTGTATTTTGAAAAGCTTCCCAGCCAATTCCGATGTGGCCCTGTTTAACCGCGGCTTTAGTGAGCTTTGTTTAATCAAAGGAGTTATAATTCCTAGATGTTGGGTTAAAGAACTAAGTGTTGGAATTTTTTTTCTAGCAGAGTTTTGGGGACAGAATGTTAATTTCTATAAACGCATTAGGTATTTAGGGACAGCTTCATCTTTTCCAATGTTGTACAAAATGTTTCAGGTGTTAGAATATACCTGGAAGTGCTGATGGGACACTGGAACATTGTGGGGAGCACTTCAAAATGTTATATTTAATTCTATTATATAAACGAGACATAATTTCATTAGGAAAAAAACTGCTCCATTATGTGTATGTAATAGAAAAATCGTAATACCTGTCCCAAAATCCAAATAAGCATGATTGGCTGTTTTCTGAGTTTTTATATTAAAAACAGTTTACTTGTTATTTTCTTGTCTGCTGGCAGGTAAGTGGTAGCAGATCTTAAGTTTAAGGAAAATTTATAGAAGGGGAAAGCTTTTACCATTGAGTAGACTACCTTTAACTTGTTTGTATCCAAATCAAGCGGGGGCGGGGGGGGGACAAAGAACGTGGCGGAATGGGGGGACTCAAACTTCCCTTTTGTTCTTGGAACAAAAGTAATTCATTAAGTGACTTGGGTTCATAGTTTGGATACTGGAGGGGAATCATTCATATGAGGTTGGGAACTTTTCACTAGAGGTATTCTAGGATGTTCTCAGAAGTAGTAGGAGTTAGATAAGTAGGAAACGGTAGAGAATAGTTCTAAGAAGTGATCTCAAAGAGAATGTCAAGGCACCAGAAACTCTGGGATTTGGAGATGGGAGGAGGAGGGGCACACATAGTTTGGAAACATTTAATACTACAACATTTTATATATGAGGAGGAAAAAAACACCTTTTTGTAATGCAAAACTATGGGAAATAAACCCTGACAAAAAGTTTAGCTTTTCAGGTGATAAGGAAAGCAGAAATATTATTGTAATTTTTGATGGGTATTGTACATAACCTCCTAGGTGAGCCATGTCAAAATCTGGTATAGTGGACCTGAAATCTTTATTTAAAAATGACTTAGTTTTTTTAAAAAAGGTGGAAAAATATTGTTTTAAAGGAATGATTGTTGGGATCTGAAGTTAATCTCACATTATGGTATTTATTGAGCTCGATTTTACAAGGTCTATTTTATCATACAGAGTTTTAGGGTATTGAATGAGTGAACATTATGCTGTAGTTGGAACGGGCCTAACGAAGTTTGTAGACTAATACATTTTCTGAAACAATGACATTGTATTCTGTGGTCTTTAAAAAGTGACAATTTTTTCTTCTTTTCAGCTTTCTGAAGCAAAGACTCAATTTGAAGATGTTTAATAAGTCATTTGGAACACCCTTTGGGGGTGGCACAGGTGGCTTCGGCACAACTTCAACATTTGGGCAGAGTAAGTTTTAAAAAAACAAAAGGGGGGATCTTAAGCTATTCTTATTAAGAACAAATCTACTCTGATGGCCTGAGATAGGAATTTTATTCATACTTGGGTTTTGATAACAAAAACTTCTTGAAAAATGACCAGGATAAGATCTTGTGAAAATTTTCTAAGAAAATAGAAATTAGTTCTGAGTTTTCATGGCTTTCTGATCATCAGTAGAAGATACTTAACATATTTTTATTAATTGGTTCTTTTAGCAGAAAGTTATAATTTGTTACTGATTTTCAGACCAGGAAATAACTTTTTAAATATTGACGTTTAGTGCAATTGAGTAACTGTTCTGAGATTTGCTCTGTGAATAAGATATGACATTCAGAAACAGAACTGCTAAAATGTCAGTCCTTAATCCCCACCAGCCTTCTTCCTGAGATCCACTTCCCCTCCCACCAGTATTGTACATGGCACTAGTCGTATATAACAACCTTTATTCACTAATTTTTAACTTTGTTAAAAATTTTTGTCTATATGTGTGTGGGGGTTTGTTTGTTTTATTTTTTGAGGTAACGTTGGTTAATGACATAAATTTTAGGTGTACAGCATAACTTGAGATCTATGCTCTATAGCATGCTCACCACCAAAAGTCTAGTTTCTGTCACCACACATTTGACTCCCTTTACCCATTTGAACCCCCTCCACCCACATCCCCTTCCCCTTTGATAACCACCAATCTGTTGTCGCTCTACAAGTATTTTTATTTTGTTTGTTCACTTTTTCTTTTTTGTTTTATGCTCCACATATGAGTGAAACCATATGTTTTTTGTTCTTTTTTGTCTGACTGATTTCACTTAGTGTAATAACACTCAAGCTCCATCCATGTTGAAATGGCAATATTTCATTTTTTTAATAACTGAGTATGATAGTATCCCAGTGTGTGTTGTGTGTGTGTGTGTGTGTGTGTGTGTGTGTGTGTGTGTGTGTGTGTATGTATCACATCTTTATTGCTGGACACTTAGGTTGTTTCCATATCTTAACTATTGTAAATAATGCTGCAGTCAGTGAACATGGGGGGGTGCATATATCTTTTGAAATTAGTGTTTTTGTATTCTTTAGATAAACACCCAGAAGAAGAATTGCTGGATCATATGGTAGTTCTAGTCTTAATTTTTTGAGGCCCCTCCATATTGTTTCCCACAGTGGTTGTAACAATCTACAATCCCACCAACAGTGTATTAGGGTACCCTTTGCTCCACACCCTCACCATCTTGCTCTGAGATTGGCTCTGAATAAANGATGCTTTTACCAGAGCTGCAAACAGCTCATACACTTAAGTGGCAGGTGTAACAACAAATATATTGCATAACTACAGACAGCTGGGAGGCGTAATACGGGTGGAAAGGGGGAGGGGAAGGGGAAGTGTTTCTATAAATCTGAAGGGTCTTATCTGGGAGTCTTGTGACGCAGGTGAGACTTGAGCAGCAATTTTTGGGAAAAAAGGGGACATAATTTTTAGAGAAAAAAATGTTCTAACAGGGAAAATGGCTTGTTCTGGGGATCAGTCATAGGAAGGATCCAATATAACAATTAAGATAGGAGATAGTTTTGCTGGGAGGTGATATTAGGTGATTAAGATTAGGCTAATTTCTTCTGGAACTCTGCCCAGCTCTCCCATCCTTCTTTTCTCATCCAAGGCAAAAATCAGCCTTTTTCCATTCAATTTAACTGTGAATGATAATTCCTATCTTTTCTAGTACTTTTGTAAAGATCAGATGAGAGAATATATGGAAAAGTACTTTGTAAACTGATAAGTTTTATACCGATCCATTCATCTAACATTTATTGTTGTTGTTCTTTACTGAGTTTGATACAAAGGAACTCACTCAGGTGGAAAAGAAAAATTACAGGCGTACCTCATTTTATTGTACTTGGCTTTGCATTTATTTATTGTACTTCACAGATGTTGCATTTTTTGCAAATTCAAGGCAAGACCCTCCACCAGAAAAAGATTGTGATTCACTTTATTGTGGTGGTCTGGAACCTAACCTGCAGTGTCTCTAAGGTGTGCCTGTCCTTCTCTTTTGTGTAACTTTCTGTTGTAAGAAAGTAGCAAGCTTGCTTCGTAATTCAGATAGTACTTCAAGTTGGTAGTTGCTCGGTTGTTAAACATGTGTCTGGGTCTGTCCACTTTTCTGGAAGAAAACTAAGTTTTGTCATTGTGCGCAGAGTTTACAAAGCTCACAAAAGTTGGATGAAAAAGCCAGGACATCAGTTTATTGAGCTTCAGTTGGAACAGTGGGAGAATACTGGACTACTGATGTCTGTTATTAAGGCTACCTCTTTCTTATATCTGACATCCTGGATTATTAATTAGAAGATTGAGCATAGACAGCAGAGTAAATTTAAGGGCATTGTCTCTTTTTGTATAGCACTAATTATTATTTTTAATTAGTTTCAGGTAGCACTAATTCATTTTTACTTTTTCCTTTCTAAATATCTTATAAAAAAAAATTTGAAGTGAGTGTAAGTATGTTCATAAAGGAAGTGGTTAATCTTTGTAGAAAAGTCCATCTGGGCCATGGGGATGCCGTATAAAATTGTTAGTTCATAAGACACATTACCTTTCTGGTGACTGGAACACCCGTGTTTGCCAGAGAACCTCTCTTTCCCCTGATAATGCTGGATCAATACTGCCAAATTTTAGATTTATAGTCTCATATATAGTGAATGCAGTCATTTCCCTTTAGTTGTCAGTGTTCTTTCTGTAGGACATCTCTAGGCTCTAGCTAGACTCTAGGAACCATAGCTTCTGGAATCAATACAATACAGTCATGCATCACTTAATAGGAATATGGTCTGTGAAATGCATCATTCNTGAAGCAACGTCCTCCACAACTAGACTGAAGAACAAAACGACAGCAACTTGTCTGTTCCCTTTCCCCCAATTCCCCAGTGCTGTTCCCATCCCCCAACTCCCCAATAAAAATCTTTAAAAAAAAGCTTGTACACAAATATCATAACAGCATTTTCATAATAGCCAAAAGGTGGAAACAACCCAGATGTCCATCGGTGCTGAATGAATAAACAAAAGTATATCCATAGAGTGGAATATTATTTAGCCATAAAATGAGATGAAGTACTGATGTACACTACAACATGGATGGACCTTTTAAACATGCTAAGGGAAAGAAGCCAGTCACCAAAGACTACATTTTGTATGATTCCATTACGTGAAATGTTCAGAATGGAAACAGAAAGTAAATAATGGTTGGTTACCTAGGAATGGGGAGTGACTGCTAATGGACCTGGCAATTCTTTCTGGAGTGATGAAAATGTTCTAAATTTAGAGAGTGAGGTGGTTGCACAACTCTGAACATACCAAAACCACTGAATAGTCAGTCCACTTTAAATGGGTAAATTTATGGTATGTGAATTATGTCTTGATCAAGCTGTTGAGAAACACTACTACTTTGAATTTTCAGTTCAATAGTCTTATCAGTTCAGTATTTTTCTTTTGTTAACTAATGCATCAATAAAGTATCTTAAACATTGGATGCTGCAGACTTATTTGAAATCAGTGTAGTTTCTCATGACAAATTAAGAAGACTTTTTAACATTACATTCTTGCCTCTGTCCAGATTAATCTGATTATTTTCAGCTGATTATTTTCAGCTATTTGATTCAAAGTTCATTTCCCACCTCAGTACTGATTAGTTCTTTTGACATACTGTGAAAATGAAGCGTCCTATCATATCACTCTGTTGTCAGTGTTTCAACCCTGTTCTCTTAGAGCACAGGAGTTAGTGTAGTTGCTCAGGACCTAGGAACTCATTAGGCTTAGATGTAGATATAAATTTCTGATACTTCCACTCAGGAGCTGTGACATATTGGGCAAATTTTTAACTGCTCTGAGCCTTATTTTCTGGAAAATGGCCCTGCTTTTTAGGGTTGTGAACAAAAGAAATGCTTTATGTATTTAGCATAGCACCTGCCATTTAAACTTAAAGAAAACTGACTATTCTAGTATGTCTTTTAATCTAGATTACCTTTTGCAGGGTTTATTTGGAGTAACCCAAGCCTCGCAGCCAGGAGGTCTTTTTGGGACAGCTACGAACACCAGTACTGGGACAGCATTTGGAACAGGAACAGGTCTCTTTGGGCAGACCAATACTGGATTTGGTGCTGTTACTTCGGTAGGTTTTCATAGTTGGTTGTAATATGAAGATGTGTCTAAATCAGTTAAAGGACTTTCTAAGAAAGATTTGACTATCTTTCACATATTGTATTGGGTATATTGTATGATTTGATACTGATGGTAACTAAAAGTTATTTGGTGTAAAATAAAACAACTAGGTAACTCTTAAGAGGTTAATTTTCAAATAGTAAGTTCTTTTTAAAACTTCTTTGCCTCAGTACTTGTGCACTTTACTTCTAATAGCAAAATACCAGTCCAATTTGTTAGTTGAAATTATTGAGTCTAAATTGTGATGCTTTCACTCTTAAAATCAGATAATTTTTAACTTCTAGTTCTAACTTCTGTTTTGGGTGACAGGATGGTATGATATTTGAGAATTAAATATTTTTGGTGTTGATCACATTTGCTAAAATTTTTGGTGTTCACACTGTTCTCATATTGCTGGAGGCTTACCTGAATTATTTTCCTTGTTAAGTCATTTAAGTAAAAAATTACTATTTAGGAATATACTTGACTTAAAAACAATAGTAAATTCTATGTTACCATTAAACTATATGAGAATCAGTATGAAACAGTCAATCTATACTATGTAACCATTATAAAAAGTTTTGAATATGCTGTTGTGAGTAGTTTAAAATAGAAGAAAAATCTCCAAAACGTGGTTCTGTTTTTGTGGAGATTGAAATCAGTTATTTCTTAACTTTGTTTGAGCAGTTGATTGAAGTGAGAAAATTATTTAATGTTTCATAAAGTACTTATTTTTTAATAACTTTATTGAGATATAATCCACACATGCCATACAATTTACTCTTTTAAAGTTTACAATCAGTTGTTTTTAGTATATTCACAGGGTGTGTAACAATCAGCATAGTCAATTTTAGAACATACTTATCACCCTAAAAAGAAACCTCATACTCATTAGTACTCACTTCTCGTTATTCCCAATCAGCACAGGCATGCTTTCTGTCTACGGATTTTCCTGTTTTGGAAATTTCATATAAATGGAATCATATAATATATGGTCTTTTGTGACTAATTTATTTCACTTAGCATAATGTTTTGAAGGTTCATTCATGTTGTAGCATTTTAAATTTTTTATTGTAACTTTCTATTGGCATAATAAATGCATGATACATTTCTGTTAACAGGTAAAAAACATTTGATTCCCTTGTTATTTTTTTTCTTTGTCTTACTGAAATCTTACGTTTGCTGAAGGTGAACTTCTCAGGCTAGGAACATTCTGTATTAATAAAGTTAATCTTGCTCAGATTAGTTTATTTTTGGGATAGTCTTTATTCTCCTTCCACTTCTCTCCCTTACTCCACACTTAATCTAGTATACCTGAGATAACCTTTGTTTACAGTTTGGAGTGTATTTTTGTACTACTTAAAATTCTCCTGTATTCTGTTCTTTTTAGACCCTGTTTGGCAATAACAAGCTTACTACATTTGGAACCAGCACAACCAGTGCTCCTTCATTTGGTACAACCAGTGGCGGGCTCTTTGGTAACAAACCAACCCTGACTTTAGGAACCAATACAAACACTTCCAATTTTGGTACATATAAAAAGCAGGTTTGGCTCTCTTAAAGTTACACTGACTATACCACACATCATTCTCCTGATTCATATGATTGGGAATAATTAAAAATTCTCAGGTAAGCAGTGGCTTGATGTGAGGTACAAGAGGGAAAGGTTTAAAAATCATGGACATGGGTTGAGATGCTTAGAAGAGGTGTAAAGTGCCTTTCCTCATTCATGTTCTTTTGAACTCTCTGCTTTGGATAAAATGGACCATTCACATGCAGCAGTACTTTGCAGAAAGTTGGTTCTCTAATGAAGGTAGATTTTTTCCAAAATATCGAAACATCATTTTCTTTGGATTACTTCACTAATAGTTGAGAAACTATAAATGAAATACATTTGGTTGAGATAACACATTGTGTTTGGCCAGATTTCTAACAGGGTAGTAGTGCACTGGTCAGATTCTTTTTTTAAAATGGTTTTTTTTTTTGTTTTTTGAGATTTGATGATTCTTACTGAATATTGAAGACTTTCTGATTTGGGGGATTATTCAGTTTTCTTATAGTTACAAAAGATTTATTCATGAGTACATGTTCATTGTAAAAAAATTGGCAAATTCCGATAAGATTGAACAACAATTGACAAAACAAACCCTAAACTACTCTTCAGAAATATGCTGGAAAATTAAAACCTATTTAATAGAAATATTATATTATTTTAAATGTCTTCCATAACTACCTAATTAGCCTTTCAAACAAACTTAACATTATTTGTGTTAATTCAGATATGGAAAGTTCTTTTTATCACCAAATGGAATAGTGGTATAAATATTTGTAAAGGATTTCACATGCCACATACATCATTAGATATTAGGTATTGAATTAACTAGGAGGAGGTGATGCAAAGACATGGTTATTTGCCATAGGTTAGCAGTTACACAGTTTTTCAATGAGTTTTTAAATGATCTTGTACTAGAGAAAGAGACTACATTAAGCATCCATTGGAAGATTATGTTTTCACAGAAATATGAACTATCTGAAGGAGATATTGTAGATAGGTCCTTGTCAAGTACCAGTTCCTAAATTTATGTATTCCATTTTGTTGTGTTGCTTGCATACTCCTAGTAATGATGATTCCTCCTATAATTCTTTTTGGTTGTACTCTATGAAAGAATGGTTTTGAGGCAGTGGACTTGGTTAGCATAGACACCTATTTTGTGTGCTTGTTTTTTATCTATAAAATTAAGATGGGAAAGATACCGTATTTGCCGGCGTATAAGACGATTTTTTGGCCCTGAAAAATATGCCTCCAAGTGGGGGGTCGTCTTATACGCCAGGTACACTTCAGATAGACTGCCCATAGTGCTTGCCCCGTGCCATAGTGGCCTCCCGATGCCCGCCCACTTCATTCCACATACCGTTCAGGCATCAGCAGCGCTGCTGGGTGTATGCTCGGCTGTTATGCGATTTTGCTGTTATGCGATTTTACCACACTCGCAAAATCGCACATAGCCGACCATACACCCAGTATGATAGCGCAAAATCGCGAATCGCGATACCATACTGGGTGTATGGTCGGCTGTGTGCGATTTTGCGAGTGTGGTAAATTCGGGTTACCGTATATTTCTTTACATATGCATTGAAGATTCGCAATTTTGCGCTATCATGGTGCCTGTTAGAATGTTGAAGAGCTCGCACTTGCGCACTAGTGAGGTCCCAGGGAGATGCTGATGCAAGGGTGGACCAGACTGCTATAGTGACAGGGCGGGCAAACAGGGAGCAGGGACCAATCAAATCAGGCTTTGTATACAGCCAACAGCCAACCACAATACTGCACCATTGTACAGTACAGCATAGAAAATGTCGACCAGTCAAACCCCTATCATCCCTATCATGGCACCAGCCAAAAGAAAGAAGTATGATGCAAATTTTAAACTGAAAGTTATAAACTTTGCTAAGGAAAATAATAATTGTGCTGCTGCAAGACAATATGGAGTAACAGAAAAGATGGTTCGGGACTGGAAATCAAATGAGAAAGCATTAAAGAGTATGCCAAGGGGTAAGTGTGCATTAAGAAGAGGCACCCCACACTGGCCAGAACTCGAAAAACATGTAGCAGACATGGTGGCTCAATATCGCCAAAACGGTTATGTGGTGACACGAAATACAATACACTTGTTTGCACTTCAGTGGGCCAAATCAAATCTGATATTGTTTTACCTTTTATTTGGTGTGTGGAAGGTGTGCGGAAGAGGGGGTAGTCTTATACGGCGAGTATATAACAAACTCTGTATTTTGAGTGGAAATGTTAGGGGGTCGTCTTATACGCTGGCAAATACGGTACTTAAGCATTAAATCAGTGTTTTTCAGCCTTTTCAAATCACTATCACTCTTCCCCAAGGAGCAGCCATTGTAGACTATTTTTTTTTCTTACTCATCTTCTCACCCCATGATATTTTCATAGCACATATATGCTATGTATCTGTTTATGTACCCTTTGGAGGGCCGTAAATTATTGTTTATCTGTGATTTTTTTTTTTTAGCCCCCTTAAAAACCAGTTTTTGCTCCCTTTGAAAATGCTTGTTTGTTTTTTTTAGCACACTTCATGTTCACAATTAAATGTTACTTCCATCTGACAGAGTGCTTGTATAGGCTATACTGGATAAAATATGCTCGACTTCTGAAATATATGTGATGTTATTCCGTGATTTCAAATTTCTGATTTGTTTGGAGATTTTTGTTTGTTTTATGAGTATGTTTATACTCATGTTCAATGATTTGAAAATGAACGGTCTCATCTTTATCTGATATACCTCACTAGCTTATGTGCTGAATTTGAATTGTCCTTAATTTTTTTTATCCCCAGTGTTGACCTAGTGCCTAGCATAAAGTAGGTGCTCCTTTTTTGTTAAATGAATTAAAGAATGAATAAATATGGCCCTGAGAGGAAGGATTCCCTTTAATAACAAGTCAGATATGATTGCAGGATGGCAAGTTTTGTTTTACTCTTGGGTGGATTTATCATCCCACTGCTACTTAAGGGATCCAGATCTAAATAAGGCTTTCTTTGATGTTCCTGTTTTCTTGGAAAGCTGTCAACTTTGATTTTGTGGGCAGAGATTATCTTCTGATTTAGAAATAAGTCATATAACAAATCTGAAAATGGAATCAAGTTATATAAAGATTTGGAGTATCATTATATCATTGTTAGTTACACATTACCCAACATGGGGTTGTGTTTCATTCTGATGGTGATTAATTCACAGAGTTAAAGGTTGGGATACCAGCTGCAGTTGGTGTCGCCAGGTCTTTAAGTCATCAGCTCATTTTGTGTTTTGTTTTGTTTTGGTTGGGTGGTCGGGGGGGTATTGGGAGAGGGGACCAGCCAAGTTGTTGTTCTTCAATCTTCGTTGTGGAGGACGCGCCAGTCGCCATCCGTGGCCTCTAAGCTCAAGGTGCTGTGTTCAGTCTTAGCTGCGGATGGGCGTAGCCACCATCCTATGGGGAAGTCGAACTAGCAGCCTTACTGTTAAGAGCCAATGCTGTATTCACTGAGCCATCCGGGTAGCGGCTCAGCTCAAGGTGCCTAGTTCAGTCTTAGTTGTGGGCATAGCCCACCATCGAACAGGCAGTCTTGTTGTTATACCAGCTGAGCCATCCTGCCACCTGTTGGCAGCTCAGCGACAGTTCAGCTCGGCCGCAGTGTCACTGGCCCATGTGGGAATCGAACCGGTGGCCCTGTTGCTCAGAGTTCACACTCTTAAGCTACCTCTTAACCAACTGAGCCACTCGGCCGGCCCATCAGCTCATTCTGTTGGTGAATAATTTTTCCCGTCAGGGATGAGTTTAAGTGACTATATGATAATGACTGAAGTTCTGAATGAATGGAATAATTTTGTTTTAGGAGAGAAATTACAGGGAGGGAGGATGCTAGCACTTGTAAGCAACAATTTAAAGAGGTTGTCCGTCCTTTGGGTATTGGTAAGAAGATGGTGCTGAGTAATAAATGAGTGGTTCTTCCATGCTACATAGTTAAGGGACAGTTAAGGAGCTATTTGTATACATAAACATCTTTTTTTAAGCTGTTTTTTGAGGTATAATTAACATATAACATATTAGTGTCAAGTGTACAACAATGATTCAATATTTGTATGTATTGCAGAATGATCACAATAAGTCTGGTTAATACCCATCACCATACATAGTTAAGAAAATTTCTTGTGATGAGAACTTTTATGATCTACTCTCAGAGTATTATGCAATACAGTATTATTAGCTATAGCAACCGTGCTGTAAATTAAATCCCCATGACTTACTTATTTTTTAACTGGAAGTTTGCACCTTTTGACCCCCTTTTACCTATTTGACCTATCTTCTACCTCCTGTCTCTGGCAACCACTGATCTCTGTTTTCTGTTATCTGTGAGCTCAAGTTTTTCTTTTTTTAAAGATTCCAGATACAAATGAGATCATATGGTATTTGTCTTTCTCTGACTTATTTCACTTATAATGATGCCTTCAAGTTTCATCTTGTTGTAGATGGCAAGATTTTTTTGTTTCTTGTGACTGAACAGGTGTGTGTGTGTGTGTGTGTGTGTGTGTGTGTGTGTGTGTGTGTACATACCCCATATTTTCCTTATTCATTCATCCATCAATGGACAGACACTTAGGTTTGTTCCATATCTTGGCCATTGTAAATTATGATGCAGTGAACATGGGGGTGCATACACCTTTTCAAGTTAAGTTTGTTTTCTTTGGATAAATACCCAGAAGTGGAATTGCTGGGTCATGAGGTAGTTCTATTTTTAATAGGAACCTCCGTACTGATTTCCATAGTGGCTGCACCATACATTTCCACCAGCAGTGCATGATGGTTTCCTTTTCTCCACATCCTTGCCAACATTTGTTATTTCTTGTCTTTTTGATGATAGCCATTCTAACAGGTGTGTGGTGATATTGTGGTTTTGATTTGCATTTCTTGGATGATTAGTGATGTTGATGAGCACCTTTTCATGTACCTGTTGGTCATCTGTATGCCTACTTTGGAAAAATGTCTATTCAGATTCTCTGCCCATTTTAAAATCAGATTGTTTTGTTTTTGCTATTATTGAGTTGAATAAGTTCCTTATATATTTTGGATATTAATCTCTCATCAGATATATGATTTGCAAATATTTTTGCTATTTAGTAGGTCACCTTTTCATTTTGTTGATGGTTTCCTTTGCTGTGCAAAAGCTTAGTTGGTATAGTCCCACTTGATTATTTTTGCTTTTAATGTCAGATCCAAAAAATCATCACCAAGAAAGATGTCAAGGAGCTTACCACCTATGTTTTTCTTGTAGGAGTTAGATGGTTTTAGGTCTTACATTGAAGTCCATTTTGAGTTAATTTTTATGTATGGTGTTAAGATAGTGGTCCAGTTTGATTTCCTTTGCATGTGGCTGTCCAGTTTTCCCAACACCATTCACTGAAAAGACTTTTTTCCCCATTGTATACTCTTGGCTTCTTTGTCGTAAATTAATTGACCATTAATGTGCATAATTTTAAAAATTGTTTTTGAAATAACAGTTGATAAACTTTTGTCAGTAAGAATCGGAGGAAATGTGTGGTATAAACAGTGTAAGTTGGGATTTTTTTCCCTCCTATGGGTTTGAGGTAGTTCCAAAATATTTTGTTTTCTGCTGTTTATGGGGATGGATGATCCTTTCTGGTTAAATTTTAACTCAGAAAGAAAAAGAATATCTCTACATTTTCTAGTTTTTTCTTTTAAATGACTGATTGTGCTTGAGTAAGCGGTACTTCAGTTTTGTGGCACAGCTTTGGTACAATTGAAGAAAAGATTTAATGAATGTATGGATTAAATGTATTGAGATTAAGTCAGATTTTTTGCTTGGATTTTTAAATGACCTTAGAAATATGTTTTCAAATTTTAAATTCTTCAACTTTTTTTTCTTGATTTTTTTTCATTGAGGTAATTATCCATATTTTGGCAAGACAGCATAGTATTCTTGGTGATACTGTCATATATTCCAAGATACTCTCTTTATTTTGTAAATATTTTGTATTTGTTCCTCTCCATGATGTCTTTTTTTCTCCCCATGATGCCTTTTAAAAATACTTTTCACAAACAGGGTTTGCTGGCCAATGATTGATTTTTTTTTTTTACTCTCATCAAAAGAGATTAATGATATGTTCATTAACCTTTTTGTTGTTAATCCAAAAAGAATACATAAACTTTTTGGACATATCTGAACAAAAGAGAAATAATAGCAGTAATGCTATGTAGGTATCTTAGTGGGGAAATCTGTGGACTCGAGAGGAGAATCAGGATTTTTCTAGATGATGGGTCATAGTAAAGGAGAATGGTTTGTTCATCTCTCCATCGTCTCTGATAATGAAACAGTTCAAGAAAAGTTATTCATCGATTAAGTTATTCATTGATTATCTTTTTTTTTTAAAGATTTTATTGGAGGATTATCTTTTTTTTTAAAGATTTTATTGGAGGATTATCTTTAATATCACCTAGCTGAGTCCTTGGATGCTCCTATGAGCTGACTGAGGATGATGCCATTAGATCTCCTTGTGTATGATTGACCTCATGTTGTTATTTATACAAGGTCCATTTGTTCAAAACAAAAGCTGCTGTAGAGATTTTTATAGGTAATTTTCTCTTAGAAAGAACCATTAGGTTCAGTAAAGTGTTTTTATTTGTTGATTGTCTTATTTTTTAGTGAAAGATTGAGGGAATGAGTTTTTCTTCCCATAATGAAATATAGGTTGGAACCTTACAAAGGGAACGTTTCCCAAGCTCAAGCACAATCACTTATTAACATTAGATATCCTATACTGAATTGATGTTTCAAGTCTGAAATGTAATTAATAGGAAAACTTGTAGGGTCTGTTTACAGGCATCAAATTTAAATTAAAAAATTAAATTAGCCTACACTTAGGGTTAGGCTGCTTTGTTTTAAATCCCCTTGTACAGGAAAGTGAGAGTTGTGTTAAAAGTACAGTCCACTCATTCTTTTGTCTTTCTAGGTTTTGGCACAAATACCAGTGGAAATAGTATTTTTGGAAGTAAACCAGGACCTGGGACTCTGGGAACTGGGCTTGGTGCAGGATTTGGAACAGGTAAGAAACTGTACCATGAGATTTAGGAAGTGATACCTCGTGGCTTTCTAATTACTGAAACTTAAGACTTGTGTTTGATCATATGCTTGGAAATAAGAGGTCTAAATTTTTTTTCCACACATGGAATTATAAAATATTTCCAGCAGTTATGCTTTACCAGGTATGAAAACATTGGCACATTTTTCTTAGAGGCAGTATGTACCTTTTCTACAAAATGTTTGTCCTCTGATAGTTCTGGTCTATCTGGGATATTCAGTAATGTGAGACTTGTTCGTATGGTGAAATTATTTACTTTCAGTTCCCCTTTGTTACAGGGATTTGAGACTTTCAACTGTTTATCAAGCAAGCTTTATTACTCTTAATAGTGAGAGCACATGCTGAAGTGATTAACAAATACTGAGTTTTTGCAAGTTCTCTATACCTTTCAAGTCTTTCACCTTGATATACAGATGAAATGTCACACCTTTGTCTCTATTCCTGTTATTGATAATTACTTTTCAAAAGTGTCTTTGAAGACATTGATCCTTTTACCTGCCTAGCTGTTTTAAACAATTGGAGGGTGGTGATGTACATAAAATGAATAAATGCTTCAGCATGTATGTAGTTCAACAATGTTGTTGAAGCATATACTTGTGCCTACTATCCAAATTCATCGGACCGTAAGTGTGGTTATTTACTTGCAGCCCATTTATTTCCATGGTCTCTGCTTCCACCGTCCAATTATATGCTATCTTTGCTTCTATGCTCTGATCATTTATCTGTCATCTCTTTTTTAATAGAACCATATTTTGTCCTCTGAACTGTTTCATTTTCTTTGTAAAATAAAAAATATAAGTGCTTGTAAAAAAATTCAACAATTTGAAAGTCCACATCTTTCACCTCTGAAATAATACCTATTGAAAGTTTGGCATGTATCTTGTCAGACCCCTTTATATATGTTTTTCAAATGTGCATATACAGAGGGTGCCAAAAAAATGTATACACATTTTAAGAAAGGAAAAGACTGTATTAAAATTGTAATATAAGTACCAATAACAAAAGATGAATACAAATCATGTGTATACATTTTTTTGGCACCCATGGTGTATGTGTGTGTATGGGTGTGGGTGTGTGTACGCACCCACACACCGGGGGTGCCAAAAAAAATGTATGTAAGTGGACACTTGGTCAGTGTTGCTCAAGCAGTAGTTCACCATAGTCAAAAGTGTCTGGACGCTTATGTGTAACCACTTTGAGCACCTCTTGTAATTGCAGAAGTCAAACGTGGCTTGTATTTATCTTGTGTTATCAATACATATTATTACAGTTTTAATAGTTTTTTTCCTTTCTTAAAATGTGTATACATTTTTTGTCACCCTCTGTGTACACACACACACACACACACACACACTTGTACATGTATGTGTTTTGTGTATAGGCTTTTTTATTATATTCTTAAATGGAAACCATATCCTACATAAGTGTTTTTTAAACCAAATGATAAGACACTTTAATTAGTTGGATGTAATATTGTAGTGGGCTGCAACCAACATTTTTTGAAAATGAACTGGAATTTTAAAAAAACTGTTGTACAAAGCAAGGTTAAGTATTTTATTTAACTTGTGTTTCAGTTATATATTTGAGTGAAACTGTGTGCTGGAGTCTCAGTTTCAAAATGAAAACTTCTGCCTTACATTATAGTATTGTTTTTTTTTTTCATTTCCCATGACATTTGGGCATATGTTTTTTCTTTTGCTTAGTATGTGTAGATCTAACTCATTGTTTAAATATAACTAGTATTTTATTGTGTATTTATGTGCGTATATACACATAAATACATAAACATACCATAATTTATTTAACTTTTCCCCCTGTTGATGGTCATTTGAGTTATTTGATATTATTAGCAATACAGTAATGAAGATCTTTGTTACATAATTTTGTGTGTGTTAGTATTATATAGGATTGACTTTTAGAATTGGAATTGTGTAGAACATACACATATTTTGAATTTTGGTCAGTCTTGCCAATTTGCCTTCCAAAAAGAATGCCAGTTGGCATTTTTGCTCACATATAAAAGTACTCATTTTCCCATATCCTTTTCATATTGTTGGGCTTTTTCATGTTTGCATGGATGATGGTAGAAATTGGTATGTTCTGATTTGCATTTCACTGATGACTAGATTTTCATATCTTTGTTTACTGGCCATTTGAATCTTTGAATTCCCTATTCATAACATTTGATCATTGTTTCTTAATTTATTTTTGAGAATGCTTCATGTATTGTGGATATTAATTCTTTTTGGTTGTATGGCAGAGTTTCATTTGAGCTTTTTTTTTAAGTTGAGCCATCCTGCCACCTGTTGGCAGCTCAGTGGCTGCTCAGCTCGGGCCGGGAATCGAACTGCTGTTGCTCAGAGCTCAAACTCTTGAGCGAGCTCTTAACCAACTGAGCCAATTGGCCGGCCCCATTTGAGCTTTTTAACTTATCCAAATTCTACCGCATATACAAAGGAAGCCAAAAAAATGTATACACATTTTAAGAAAGGAAAAAACTGTTAAAATTGTAATACTCAATATATACCAATAACAAAAGATGAATACAAGTCATGTGTATACATTTTTTCTGCACCCCTGGTATTTTGCAAGAAATAAAAACTAAAAAGCTCTGTCTGGTTTTTTGTACACTGTGATCCCTAAACTTAAGTAGAATACATCATCTGACATCAGTGTTGTCTTCTGATTCCAGAGGAAGAATTAGCTTTGCTGTGGACAAATTAAGTGTCTTTTTCAAGGGTAGTTTTGATTCTAGAGAGTTTATGAACCATAAGTCTAAGGGCTGGGTAAGATGCTACTCTAATGTCAGTTACAGATATTTCTACCAAGTCTTTAACTTTGTTTATGGTATAGTCTTATTCAAGTTTTTAGTTTTATGTGGTCAAAATTATCATTCTCTGTGTCTTTTGGGTCTTGCAGTATATGTCTTTTCCTGTAGTCCAAGATTTCTGGTGCTGTTGTCTTTTATTCCACAATAATGTAATATCTCAGCCTTTTTATTAATTCGACTATATTCCAATTTTCTTAAACAGTTCTACCTTATAGATGAGTCACATTTTTATTACTGTTACGTATTCTCATTAATGCCTTGTCCCCATAAACTAAAAGCCAAATAAAGAATTTTACACCCCCAACCTTAATAGCAGATCATATACGGAAATAAGAATTGTGAGAATGATCAAGTGAACACTCTTGAAATTCTTTCATGATTACATCTGCTAAAGCAGACTTAGTTTTGAGAAGAATGTGTCTGGAGACTATTGTACATAAACACCCACATAAATGAACTCTGCATTCCATGGTATCACAAGTAGAATGGCACTGTAGCTTTAGGCTGTGTTGTTGTTTTTTTGAGGGGGCGGGGGGAGACAGTAGCTAAGTGGGTATTCCTGTGCTTCTTGTTTTGAGTGATGGGGTTTCAAACTCAACAGAAGTAAATTTGCCAGTAATATTGGCCTTTGCATACTTCATTAATAGTTGATTATAGAGATATTACATGTACAAATACTAAGTTTTTTGTACACTTTAGATTTAAGTGATCAATCTTAGTATGAAATTTATATACGTATATATATATTTAAGATTTTATTGGGAAATTGGGGGAGGGGAACAGACAAGTTGCTGTCCTTTTGTTCTTCAGCCTAGTTGTGGAGGACGTGCCCATGTTGGCATTATCATTGCGCTCTTCCCGGGTGAGGCAGATCGGTCTCCGGCCACTGGACAGCTGCTCACGGGGCTCTTTGCAGCTCTCTCTTGCTGCCGGCCGCTCACGCTGACTGCCGGACACACACGGTAGCTTATGGCAGCCCACTGCAGTAGGGGTTGCAGCCTTCGCCATTGTCGGCAACTCTTGGAAGCCCAGCTCCATGTCAAGCTGTTGTTCACCCTCTTAGCTGTAGAGGGCGCAGCATCACTGGCCCTAATGTGGGATCCAAACCAGGGCCCTGCTGCTCAGAGCTGGCATCCCAAGCCAACTCTTAACCAACGTGCCACTTGGCCCTAAAACTTATATTTTTTTAAATTTCTTTTTTATTGGGGAACAGCCATTGTCATTGGTTACACATTGCTTTCATGCTACAGTGGCATAGTTGACTCTTAAGGAGGGTGCAGCTCACAGTGGCCCACGTGGGGATCAAACTGGCAACCTTGGTGTTAGCAGCACCACGCTCTAACCAACTGAGTTAACCATTCACCCCCTAGTATAAAATATTTTGTATTATCCTTTGGCATGTGATCTTTTTTTTCCCTGATGTGCTCAGACTAAGAGATACTCATTAAATCATGGGCGTATCAATTTCTTCTCAGTGATAATAACTATCAGCATTAATAGTATGCCATTTCCTTGGTAGATACTTAGTAATATTAAGAAGTTTTAGTTCTTGTAATTTTCTATGAAGAAATAAGTTTAAGGGTATGTCTAATAAAGTTGATTCTATACTGTGAGATACACAGGAAAATCTACCCCAAGATAGATACTATAGATAAAATTAAATTCTAATATTTATTAGACCTCAAAAGAAATGTAATTGTTCTCACTTTTTCCTTCAGCATCTTTGGAGTTTCTAGGGCCACTATACCATGGTGCCCCCAATATAGCTTCCTTATGACTCCTACAATTAATCATAAATATAGCACACTTCATAAATCAACATTATCAATCATACATCAGAATGTCCCTAGTAAGTCCTTTCATCAAGCATAAAAAGACTTTTGTGCATAATATAAGACAGATTTGGATACAAATACGTATTTTTCCATTGATAAATTGTAATAGTATATGCAAGTTATTTTATGACATCCCCTTTCCAAGTCACCTGAACCTCACAATACCTTTTTCTATTCTTTTGTGGGTTATTGAAGCACAGTGGTTTTTAGACTGTTTTATGGTTCTTTACCCAGGGCTGCTGCAAAGGTGAGGAAAATACATACCCATCCAGAACGGAAATTTTTATCCATTTTATATATTTGGGTTTCATCTATGTTTTTGTTTGGGGGTAAGGAGGTGTTTTGCTATCTGGAAAAATAAAGAATCCTAAAATTTGGCTGTAAACCATGTTCTTTGACAGAGTAATATATTTTTAGTTTATCTTGGAATTTTCACCAATTCCTAATGGTTTAGTACTTATTTCCTGTTCCAAAGATGGGCTTTTTAGGTGAAATAATCCCATTGTTACGTTGTTGTCTTGTTATTGATGCAGTTGGATAATTAGGGAATGTTTAGTCCATTTAGTCAGTAGTCACCCTCACTAATTTGTAATATGGATTCTCTTAGTATAAACTTCCTACCCTTTTTTTGGTTGTGATCTCAAATCAGTTCCCATTTGAGATTTTTGACCTCCAAGTATTATATCTTTGAAGTGATTTTTGTGCTTTTCATGTAAACCATATCTCTCTGAAGATGCATTGATATAACACTTTAAAAGAAACTTCAGATCTTCCAAATTGCCAATAACTTTTTGAGGAGGAGTGGGTTGGAAAATTTTTTTTTAACTTATGCCAATAACTTCTATGTAAATAAATTGTCCCCATTTTATACTTTAAAAATTGCTGCTACCAATAAGATCCATAAGCAGGATTCATTAGGCTTTAAAACATTGCAAGTTTTTGCAGTGGGTTTCCCTCTAGAGAAAATAAATTCTTATTCCATATGATCTGATTCATTCTGAAAATTGAATCTAGTAACCTTATCACAAGGCATTTTAGCTTTTTATAAAACAAAAAGTTTGTCTAAAGTAGTTTTCATGAGATACGATATACTTGAAAGTGTTACTTTTTGCTATTGGAAGAAAATATATTGGATTTGATCTTCTATGGCCCATAGTCAAAAAGATGACACTGTGATAGGTTCAGCTGATTATTTTGATTTTCAAATATTGGAACTTAAGGAGAATTAACTATTGTTTTAATTCTTTCAAAATCTGTTTTACTATGGAGTAGTAGTTAAGAGCCCTTGGTTGTATTGTCAGATGCACTGAGGTCTGAGCCCCAGTTTCATCATTTACTATGTTTGAGCTAATTAATTACTAAGCCCTCCGTTTTCTTTTTTTTTAGCTGAGCCATCCTGCCACCTGTTGGCAGCTCGGCAGCAGCTCAGCTCGGGCCGGGCATCGAACTGCTGTTGCTCAGAACTCACATTCTTGAGCGAGCTCTTAATCAACTGAGCCACTTGGCCAGCCCACCTGTAGTTTTCTCATGTTTCAAATGAGGATAATAGTTCCTACTTTCAGGCTTATGAAGATTGAATGAGATGATAGTGGTTAATATTTAATAAGTGCTAATAATATCTACCAGACATCTTCTAAATATGTGTTTGTTCATTTTAACCTTAGGATAAATATCTAAGCTATATATTATTATCTCATTATAGTTGAGGAAACAGCACAGAGAGATTAACTATGTTGCCCATAATGTATATAATGTTGTGCTCAGCACAGTGCCTGGCATATAGTTAGCGTTTATTGTATTAGCTCTTTTGTTGAAGTGAGTGGTCATTATGAAGTTTCCAAATGTTTTATATTTTTAAGTAACTGACCTGGTACAACATTGAAAGGATCTTCTGTGGCACTTTTTTCTTTCCTCTTGTCTCCATAGCTCTTGGTGCTGGACAGGCATCTTTGTTTGGGAACAACCAACCTAAGATCGGAGGGCCTCTTGGTACAGGAGCCTTTGGGGCCCCTGGATTTAATACCACGACAGCCACTTTGGGCTTTGGAGCCCCCCAGGCCCCAGTAGGTAAGTGTCAGTCAACTTTAGAAGGCTTTACTCAGTTTATTTCTTGCTAATACTTAATTTGCTGACCCAATTTTCCATGCCACCTTTGTTCTACCCCTACCAAAGCAGTACATACATACATGTCATTGTATAATTATGTAGTGCAAAAGAGCTTGTAATAGATCCTGGCCTTCCCCATTCCCAGGCCTACTCCCCCAAAGAAAGTACTTTTGTTACAGCTTTTAATTCACTTGGTATGTAATTAAGGTCATCTCTCTAAATGATCTAAATGATGTGCTTATATTGCGGTGTTTTGCTTTATTAAACTAAGTAACTTTAAATTGTTAATG